CATTGGTCACTGGTACTTGATATAGTTTTGCGGACAACGAGAGGGCGACTTGATTGCGGGATAAAGCTTTCAATCTGCATTGGCGAAAATCAACGAAGGATTTATCAAGACTAATACACTTAAAATTTGTAAATTTTATATAGGCAATTATCGTTGAAAAATTAATAAAGGCACAGTAAAATGCTGCTACAAATTTAATTGTGTTCAGTAATTTCATTTTGACCGCAAGGCAGGTGAGCCACTGACGATATGGAATATAAAATCTAACGAAGGTTAATAAAACTAAACGTATCTGGTGTAAGATTGTAGACAAACATAATTATGTTTGCCACCATTAATGCCTGCTTGACAATACGAGGACTACTCCAGATATTCTGCGCCTAAGCAACACTAACAGGGCAATTGTGGCAATTATGTGTCTTTCAACTCACGACTGTCTGTCGAAAGACAAAAGCCTTCTGGCAACTAGCTTGAAATTATTTTCCTGTCTTTCGAAAGACTAATTGAAAATCTGTTCATGAGGAAGCCTTAGCGTTATTCCGTGTGTGTTTTAGCAATAAGTTGTCTAAATGTTAAATTAAATAAAAACTATATGTTTTCCTTTTTAAAACAATAAAATCTAAAAATTAAAAGAAAACTATATTAAAAAAAAAGAAAAAATAAATAAAATAAGTTTTTAAAAGTTAAATTAAATTAAAAATTAAATAGTATTCTTTTTAAAATAATAAAATCAAAAGGTTAAATAGGAGAAACATAAAATAAGTTCCTTAAAATTTAGTTTAATTAAACAAAAATTAGTTTTCTTTTTAAAACAATAAAATCTAGAAAGTAAAAGCAAATTAAAAGTAAATAAATTTAATCTAAAAATCAAAAAAAAATCTAAAAGATTTATTTCGTTTTTAAACAACAAAATCCAAAAGTAAAAAAATTAAATTACAAAAAAAAATATAAAAACAAATAAAAAAGTTTCTAAAAATTAAAAAATATAAAAAAGTATTTTGCTTTTTAAAACAATAAAATAAAAAAAAATTAAAACAAATTGAATTAAAACAAAAAAAATAAATACAACCATAGGAAGAAATAAAAACAGTTTCTAAAAATTTAATGAAGGGAAAAAAATACTTTTGCTTTTTAAAACAATAAAATCTAAGGACCTAAGGAATTTTAAATTAAAAAACATAAATTCAATGAGTTTCTTATAATTAAGTAGATCTAAAAAATATGTCGCGTTTTAAAACAATAAAATCTAAAAATGAAAAGAAAACTAAAATGAAAAGAAAATTTAATTAAAACTTTATAAAAAAAAAGATAAAATAAATAAAAAATAAGTTGCTTAAAATTAAATGAGTGTGAGAACTTATATTTTATTTTTAAAAATTAAATAAATCTAAAATATATTTTTCGCTTTAAAACAATAAAATCAAAAAATTAAAAGAAAATTGAATTAAAAAATTAAAGTTCTATTAAAAAAAAACAAATCTGTTCCTTAAATTTAAATTAAATAAAAAGAATTACTTGTTAAAACCATAAAAAAAATTAAATAACAGAAAAAACAAGTGCTAAAACTTAAAAGAAATTAAATTTCCTTAAAAAAATAGAAACTAAAAATTTAAAGAGGATTAAATTAAAAAAAATATAATTAAAAAAATTAAAATTAAATTGAAAATATATATATATTTTTTTAATAATAAAAACTACAAACTAAAAGAAAAATAAAAAATACAAGAAATTTTTAGCAAAAAAAAACGACTTAAAAAAATATAAACATATATATTTCATGATCCAATGATCGGATCTAAACCAGATTAGTACGGGACCACCTCTGAGACACTACCTTTCCGATGCAAAAAGACGAAGAATCGAAATCGGGTGACGTGGTCCAAAGTTATGCGCTAACATACATAAAAAAAAAATATTCCGACGAACTGATAACCTCCTCCTTTGCCCTATAAGTGTGGACTAGCTCGGAAATAGTGCAGCAATTAGCTCAATTTGCCAGTCGTTTAGGTGGTGTAAAAATGGTTTGAGAAAATAAGATCGCGTTACATTTTTGGATCTACATACATGCATATGATTATGGGACAGAAACGAAACCAGAATCCGCTGTGGGGCTTTTATAAGACTATACAAATGTAATTAACTGACGTGTAAATATTTGTTCGTCCGCCGTTGGTGGCCTATGACTGTTTTTCTGTCAAAATTTATGTTTTGGAGTCATCTCGGTCGGAGTGCAAAAAATGCTTTGAAAATTTGAAAGCAGTCTTCATTTATAAAACAAAAATATTAGTTTTTCATTTTGAAACGCAAAATATTTTAATCAGCCCTCGTATTAGTTGAAGAGTAAATGTATGTAACATTACATAGGCATAAATACAGTGGGGGATCTAGAAACGTGTGAAATGGGGGTTCTATCTTGCTTCTAGAGACCTACATAGTATGTACTTTGGAACATTAAAGGGGGCGATAGACGTATACTGGTATATTTTATAGAAAACAAACTACCTATGGAACTGGAATGAGTGAATATTTTACTAACACACAACTGCGATTATTCATTTCTCTACTTGCCAGATATATTTTTAATTAGTCCAAGAAGTCATCGCAAAATCTTTTCCTAGCTATCACGACCAAAGCACTTTCCCCGAACGAGGCTTTTTACGCTTTCGATAGTTTTAACATGCATCAACAAAGTCTCGTGATTTAGTAAATCTAATCCTCTGAAAATGGCAGCACCACAAAGTATAAAAATGAGCTTCCCGCACCCCTTTACTGATACGCTTGTGCTTTCTCGAAATATTAACCTGCCTACTGAACCATAAAGCAAAATTAAAAAATCGTTAACTGTTCATGTAAAATTAAGTTTCATTTTAGGCAGAATAGTTAGTTTATAAACAATCTAATTAAGCTGCTTATTAGCCTACAATTAGCTTATTTTTGTGGGAGACCGTTTTAGAGGGTAACAGCGGAGCTTGCGTTAAACAGAAAGACTACTGTGCTCAGAAGAGCATTGTTTGCACTCTCCAGAGGGAACCGGGATGGATAGCGATACGGGCCGTTCACCCAACCCTGGCTGCGATAGCTGAACTGAAATTGCGGATACTTTTATATGCGAGTATTTTAATACATAAAAATTTCGTTTTTCTGTGGTTTTTGGGCGACTGGTAATAAAAATTGATCATATTGACGAATGACCACGACCAGACTCCACTTCTAGTCATATGTACATTACCATGAGACAGATCGTTTGCTGAGTCCGCCGCCACCCTCTCCCACCCCCAGTGTTGCCAGGTTTTCGGCATGAGAAAACGCCCCTCTTGGTCTGAAAAAACGTCATTTCCTACCCAAAAACGTGTTTTCCATGTATGCACACAGAATTGTTCTTATTAAACTTTTATTGTATACAAAGGTACTTATGTACGTAAGGTATATTAAAATGTCATTTCGACAGAGCGCATTTAAAAGTCATTAGTGGTATTCACCAAAGTGAGCAAGTGGCCTGGCACTCTGGCAAAACAGCAGATGAGCTCAAGCAACGACTGTTGACAACATTTTTGGTGAAAACCACTATTGTAAACTGGTTTGAGATCATTAATATAAAAATCAATTTATACATACACTTGTGATCAGCTGATTAAGTCATCAACATTTTGATCGATTTTGGCTATTTTTCTTTTGTTTATTTAATGTTTATTATATTATAACTAACACAATATAAATCCACATTTCAAACTTTGTGCAAAAATAATAAAAAAAAATCCGCAAAGTTTCAGCTAGGTTTTCATGTTTTTATTCAGATTTTCTAGAATTTTTTTGAGTATGCAGTTTCATAGCCCATTAAAATCCGCGGCAATAATATGCAAGTATTAAGTTGCTAAAGAATCGCGTTGATTTTTAATATTTTTTTTCTTGTAGACTTTTGGTTAGGTGGTCGGTTGTCGAAAATGCGAAATTACGTTCTGCTAAGAAGGAACATAATGCTTTTGCGAGCGTGCGTGTTGCAATAGATCAGCTCTTCCTGATTTGGCTTTTAATAAGCAATTCCAAACATTGTAATAAGCCTTGTAACCTCAAGTGTTTACACAACCAGCCTTTGAACGCGGGACCCTTAGTCCAAGAATAAAGAAAAAAAATGCGCGTACGCTTGGTTTGCATCATATGTAAGTCATATGTGTCCAAAGAATAAATATCTTTTGAGGCACCTGCTGCAAAAAACGAAGCTTGTAAAGATTTATTAAGAAAATAATTCAAAATCAGTTCTACTTACAAGATTTAGTAACATATTTGCCGAAAGTGTGAGCGTAAGTACTTACTCTACAAGCAAATAGTACGCTATACATTGAATATATTGTGCATAGACACAAGTATGTTTCTTTACAATGAAATCGAACAAATAATTAAATATGATTAAAAAAATCAAAAATAATCAAAAGTAATCACCAAATTTAATCAACTACTATTTTTGATTATTATTGATTATTTTTTTAATGACAAATAATCATGATTGTTTTTTGATTAATTCTAATTATAATTGATTACTAATTCCTCGGTTAAAAACACTAATTGTATTAATCATTACGATTACCGAGCCTATGTAATCGTTTTGATTAGTAATCGTAATCCAAAGTTAACAGGTCTGCTGGCAACGCTGCCCACCCCTTAAAAACTAGTCAATAGCTGTCGGATGCTAAATTTTGACAGTTAACCAAATGCGGCCAAATTACTAATAACAACTTCCTTTTTGTCGCGGCACCTAGCGGTGAAGTTTACAACAGAGGAACGCATGAATGAAAAAGGAAACACCAATTTTATCTCAGGCCTTACATTTTTATTTAAAACTAGTTAAAAGTGCTTTAGAATTGTGGCAACTAGTTTTTAACACTCTTTAATCTAATAATTATTTTTTTGTCCCTATTTTATGCATTAAAAAGTGCAAATACACTCCCAATTGTGAACGACAAAAAGGAAGAAGAAGCTGGAATTACTTTGACATTTTCGTTTTTAAGAAAAAGCAGAGAAAGAAAAGTTCAAAGCACTCTTCGGACAAGGCCAGGCGTATATAATTAAAAGAAAACAAAAAAAGGTCTTATATTAAGTTATTAGAAAGTAATTAAATTGAAAATTGGTCATAACAATGGATGCAAATGCAGTTCAACAATGTGCCTCCTCCCCAATAGAGCAAAAAGCAGCAGTAGAAGCAGCCGCCAGTGATGGACCCGAGGAAGCATCGTCTGCAGCGGTGGCGGCGGTAAGTGAAAGCGTGTCAACGGAAAAGGTGGCCACTAATAAGGCGGCAACAAACGCAGTGGTTAACGAGACTGCCCTGCAGATATCAAGTGGAGAGAATGCAGAAATAGAGGAAGCACCGCCAACAAAGCGACTTAAGGCGGAATTAGAAGCTGAAAAATCAAAGGATGCTGAGGAGAATGAAAGCCTCTTTGGAAATATGTCTACGACCTCGGTCGCAGGTTCCATATCAGAAGGTAGTCTATACAACTTGCAAGCAAAAGATCTTAGTTTAGATGGGGTAGTTGCTTCGAACGTTACGTCGCGAAAATTCCAACGCATTCCCATATTCATAGCCGATTATCACAATGATGTATTGGAATTTATATACCGCTGCTTGGCTACGCGCCATTTGCCACTTCAAAATAATATACTAGTGCATTTTGATTCGCATCCAGACATGGTTATATCTCGTGAGATTCCGGCCAGTGCTTCCTTTGATAAAGAAACTATGTTAGCTGAACTTAGTATTGAAAACTGGATAATGCCAGCTTGCTATGCAGGTAAGCAAAAATTTAAATCGCTATGTAAATTATGAAATAAACCGTAATTTTTGCAGGCCATTTTAATCGAGTTGTTTGGCTGAAGAACTCTTGGTGCCAACAAATTCCTCTGGGCAAATATAACTTTAAAATTGGACACAAAAATGATAAGATAAGCGTCGATTGTCCACTTGACTACTTCATATCCGAGGGTAACTATTGTGATACCAAGGAATTGCATGAAACGCGCAACATGGAACTACAAGTGATCAACGTAGACACGTCCACCGAGAGTTCGCCAATAGATACCGAACAGTTTATAAAAGCTACGGATGCACCAAATTTTGTACTAGACATTGATTTAGATTTTTTCAGCACCTCTAATCCGTTTTTGGAAATTTATAAAGATGCTAACTGCTACGAACAACTCACCGACATATTCCACTTTGAACCAGAGGTTAAGGATTGTGGTGGCACTACGGAACGTAGAAAACTGCAATTGGAAGCGCTTAAAAAGATATTTGAGCACTTGGAAGAGGCAAGAACATTAGAAGGGCTCGCTCCAGCGCCCGATCCGTCTATAATTGCGCCAGAGACTTATGCACGCATTGAAAATCTCACAAAATTACTACAGAAGCATTATGCTGACGATGAGATAGACTGGTTGCTCATCTATGATTCGGGTAGTACTACAGATACGAATGGACTGCCGCATCATATCAGTACTTCTAAGGAGTTGGAACAATATTTCGCACAATTTAAGAAATTGCTACAAAATTTGCCAGCACCGCCGGTGCTAATTACCATGGCTTGCTCGGCTGAGGACGATTACTGCCCCAAGCATCAAGTGAGCTTCATTCAAGAACAGGTGTTGCAAGTATTGCGCGAAGTGTTTGGCGAACGGTTGCATGATAAGCCTATACTACATTATTTGGACGAGGAATGGGATGTAATGCATCTATAATGCGAAGACTTAGACAACGTTGCCGCAACAACAACAACATTGGCTATGTTTAAGGCTACTCGTATTTTAGTTAAAATGTTTATTTGGCTTACACATTGTTAGTATATTTATGTGGATTATGTAATTCAGTAGATACTTTTCGTTCAGGTTTGATTTATACAAACACGGTATTTGTGTAAACCATTTAAACATTTGACGATGAAAAAGTTATATATTTAAGAAACTGCGTATTAATTATTTAGATTATTTCTTATTTTTTACTGAAAGTGAAGAAATGTAACAATTATACCACTAAAATTTATGAGTATTTGGAAACACTCTTGACTACTTACTTATACATAAACATTTATAAAACTCGAATTAGCGAAATAAGTATGAAAATAATATCAAAACCCAATAAAGAGCTCGTTGTAGCAGTAATGTTTGGTTTCCGCTGTTACGAACAAAAAAAATACAAGGAAATGAAACTAGTATTTACAATAAAAAGGTCATTAGTTAATAAAAAGGCAAAACTTTTCCCTATGCATATTATCTTGGCCTATTCGCCATCACAAAGCACACACACATACATTCCCGACCCCAGTCGTTGGCATAACTGCTCAAACTTTATTATGCTCCTCTATTCGACTCGATACATACACACATACCGCATGCCCCATGCCGTTGTCCACCCTTAAATAGCTGACCATTTGTAGTGAAGTTGGTTTGTTGCTAGACCCACTGCATCGATTTTAAAAGCATTAACATGTGCTAAAGTTTCTTGTACCCAGAATTTGGCTGGTACCCGTGACGTGCCGTTTCTCTTACCTACTGTGTGAATATACTTTTGAATTTCTTAGGGTCGTAAAACGGCCCTTAGCCAAATAAGCATACCGTTGTTTGTGTTAATTTAGTTTTAACATAAAGCAGTTAGTCGTTGGTGGACATTGTAGCCGCTGACACGCACCCACTTTTTGTGGTAGTTGGACAAACCGGTGGATAAAGTAAGAATTTTGGTATTGTGCAAGAAGGTGTGATAGAGATTCGATGTACGAAATTTTAAAAATGGTTTTGGTTTGGAGTATTTTTAACGGTCGATATCTTTAAAATATTTGGTTCAAGTAAATTTACTTTGTGAGCTGTAAGAGTGTTGTGAAATGCACGGACCATATATCTTTGAGTTGCAGTGCAGATCCTCTTTTGTGAAAACATTCACTATTTCCATAACGCAGCGGAGAACGCTACCGCAAGGCTACATCTAAGGCACTCGCTGCTCAAACTGAAATATGCTGCTACACTTAAAACACTTATTAAATAAAAAAAAAAAACAGCTGAGACTACACCTATGAGAAAATACCGTTAGCAACCGCTAGTTAGCGACCAACAACAGTTTATGTTCAAATTCACCGGCAAAACAAAAAAGAAACAAATGTTTATACCTATTAACATACATACATAGATTAATGAAGTTCAAAGGGGAGCAGAGCAGTGTGACCCCAAATTCTACTAACTATTGTTGTCAACACAAACATATGAAACAATTTTTTTCCAGGCTTTTCAAGCACAAGGTTGCGATTACTAATGAGAACAAATATAGTTCAGTTATTTTAATATCTTTAACTGAGTTTTAAAATATGTTTCGTAAGGGATTTTTTGTTAAAATAGAAATTCAATTGCATGCGGTAAGTGGAATAGTTATTAAGAACATAACGATTATAATTATTTGTGGAAAAGTTTATTATATATGTATTTGTCAATGTTATTGTGGCTTATTAACATTTTATTTTTATTTTTTATATTTATAGTTTATAGTTTATAATATATTTTTAAAATTACTCACTCAGGTGACTTGTCCTGGCGTTTGGCTTTGTACGCATGGTTATCTAGAAGTTACCATCAAAACATTGGGCTACTTCTTCCGTACCGGCGCGATGGAACCACGTTTTCCCCTACTTTGTCATGACAAATTCAGCATGGAAGGCTACTTTAAGTCCGTCGGGTCACTAAGCGACCTAGAACGCGTGCTATCCGCCGAACAAGTAGAGATAACACTGTGGCAAAATGGACGGCGCATGGCTTACTTCTCGGGGAAGCTGGCCGACGTAATGCATTCGGATATACCTAAACTGACATGTGAGCATAATATAAATGTACAATTGCTGATGAAGGCTACACCTGCATTTCCGGTAAAAATAATGAAAGAAATCTGCGTATATCAAACTACCAATCATTGCTTTGTACCTTAGGGAATAATTGCACCAAAAGTAGAACTAAGCGCTCATGTTGGTGTAAAGGACCGCTTATCACTTTCCGCAGAGTTAAGCCAACGCGTAGGAAAAGCTTGTGGTAACTCAGGTTTACGTGAATTGGAGTTTGAAGCTACACGGGTGCCTAATCGCCATTGTCAGCAGCAAACCTCGCCAGCTGGGAGCTGTTTCAGTTACTTGGAGGAGCGAAGGCGTCAAAGGCCCGTCTGTCATACCAAGACAAGCTGTGGTAGCGGGTGGGTCTTATTCAAAGACGTTAAACTTTTGGGGTTTTTAATACGAGTACTATACTATCAAAATTATTATTTTTTTTTTTAATTTAAGGTTTACGAGAGATAACTCTGCAGTTCCATGCTCAAATGCTTTGAATTCGTTCGACATGGAAGCAGTTGCAACTAAAAATGGTGCACGTCGTCTATCTGCCGATTCAAGGTAAACAATTACAATACCTCCACGAAATTTTGCAATATAATTTAAATATTTTCCGAATCTAGTAATTTCAGTAATAGTTCTTATAACCTTAGCCAAATGACGCGTATGAGCAGCCCCAGTTATCGTAGTCACTCTGTTTGTACGATTGCTTCTATAACAGCTGCTGATGAGCATCAGCGTGAATGTCACATTTGCCAATGCTATCGGAAAGTTTTCTCATAACTCAACTTTATCAGTTTACAGCAAGTTTACAGTATCTCATATAGATAATAATAAATACAAATATGATCGTATAGTATATGAAATGGAATTTTTATTTAGCTTACATGAAAAGTGAAATGTGGATATAAAATTTTTCGACGTTGCACTTCCTGCATAAAAGTCCTATGTATAGAACTTTCGTCATATCGTCGTTTAAAGTACAAAGCCGCGTATCGTCCGTCATTCTGCAAAACCGCGTAACTTAGATTTGCTGCCAAAAATTGGATTTGCTCACAAAAGCTCTTGGCTCCAGCCTTACCCATTCGTCCTGAAATATACTAGCCAGAAATGAGATTGCTTTATAAAAAGGAGAACCATTTTGAAATGTGAGTGTTTTTACTCTCTAAAAATAATTTATGGTACCTCACATTTTGTTGATACGCGGTTTTGTACTTTAAACGACGATATATATGTTATTTATTGTACTCGCTTATTAAGTCATTGGCTTTTGCAGCTAGGCTTCACAAACAAATTCCGCAAAGTCTAACTGCCCAAATGCCTTTGATATCAAATGTATGAATAAATTATAAGGCACCGCCTTAGTTGCAGCCGTTACTGGTACTCGCCCACGTAGTCGTATGCAAACGCGTGCTATGTCGCGTAAAGTACTATGCACTTCTGGTTCGATGGGTATATGTAGGCAAGCCAATGTAGCATATAACCAAGTACCTATCCATGCATCCGTATCAACAAGATCCAATTCAGTTTCATCTGAATTTTCATTGGTGGCAGCATTCGATGTTGAAGGTATTGGTTCCTCGGTGGATGTATTTTGCAGAATTTCTTTTTCTTCTCCGCAACGCAGCCAATCGCAAATATATTCCAGCAGTTGCTCTAATGTATGTTGACTGAAACGCAATATAATTTTTAATAATGGCGGATTTCCGTGACAGAAGTGACGCCAAGCTTGTGGATCACTAATTAAAGGCGGCTCCAAAGATTGCTCATATTTGTGTCTGTGCAGCTCTAAACGTAGAAGTACTATCTTTTCACGTGATGATTCAAAATTCTCCAATTGCAAGTCTTTCCACTCCTTGGTAGGTAGCCGAACTTGGCACGGTATTGTTTTGAGTGGCTCCTAAAGTATTTTGTTAATATTATCTGCGAATAAATTAAGCAAATCCATCTACTAACTTCCTCATCCTTGAAATTTTCCTCGATTGCTGCAGCTATTCTATCCATGTTACACTTCTTCGGCTCCTTTGCAATTACGGCAGGACACTTTCGGCGCTCGTACAACATATGCATGAGATATTCTTCGCCATCTTGTGGTGGTGCTGACGGATCGAAGTCAGGTCCTGGTTCGCGTATCTCTAGTGCCTTGAATTAATATTGGCCAATCAGATTGCGACGCAGTGTATGTATTTTAGTTGGCTTACTTGTTGTTGAAAAGTATCCATTTGATTGCCGCTGGCACCGTCATCCTCCTTCATTTCCTTAGCTGGCTTGTGTGTAGCATTTGATTTGCGTTTTGGTTTTGAATTTACTTTATACAAAACATCGCTTTTAGCAGCCATTGTCAATAAAAACAAACCAAACCAAATTTGTAATGCAATCGGCAGTCAAAACAAAAGCCGAAAAAAATCAGGCAAATAAAATTCTGAAGCGTTAACGTCAGGGTTGCATATGAACGCAAGTGCTGCCAAATCTTTTATGTGCAAGTGCAGCCAAAACTAGTTAACCGGTTGTTTTCAACGGTAAAAACGAAAATTCAGTTTAAAACAAACTTTATTTTTGTAATTTCCCAAACAAGGCGAATTTATACAAGGTAGCGTTGACAAAACAAAAATTACATCAACAAATTATACGCATAATGACGGCAAGAAGTACCCGATAATACAACGAACACATCATTTTGACATTCAGAAGGACAGCGGCGAATTCTAGTAACACCAACTCGAGGTGAATTTATACATATATATGTATATTTTTATATATATATATTATATTATTATTAATATATTACATATTTATATGTATAAAATCGCCTTGAGCCCAAATTAGATGTGTAAAGAAATGTTTGGTTTAAGGCGATTCAAACTAAAATCGCCTTGGTTTGCTTACCAAGCAATACCAAGATTTTCAGGCTTTTAGGATTATGTGTCGAACTGGACGCCGAGCGCCATAACGGCTGAAAAACTTGATGCGGAGTTCTAACTGTCGTTGCTACTGTTGCTGTGGCTTTAAGTGTTATCGAAACATTTTTGGGGAATGATTTGGGAATTTTGTAAAAATACGGAATATCTTTTCTCGCCAAAATTACTTCTTTTCAATTTCGAGGGGTAATGACCGTCGTTCGAACTCCAAATCCAAGTATAGCTCAACAGAGTACTTTCACTTTCATCACTTGAATTTATGCAGATTCTTCTCAGAACCACTTTCAGGGAGTTTCTTTCTGAAAGCAGATCAAACATTTTTCGGCTGGCACATGGCACAAACCGAAAATGGTGTAAATGTTTTTCTTTGTTTACAGAGGTATTAGCATTTCGGGTTTCGGCAGAACAAAATTTGGATCTACATACTATTACTATATAAAGTCGAGACATAAAGAATTGTAACTTTGAATGATGAGAATACAAATACAGGAGTGAAAGAACAACCAAGGCAAATTAATATCGACACCAAGCAGAAGATCGACACCGATTTCGATAAAAATTCAATGCCGACATCGTGAAAAAATCGACAAATATATCGAAAACTGACAGAAAACCGATATCGAAACCGCTGCAAATGATAACTGTAACTGAAAAATCGATATCGATGATACCGATAAAAAAATAATAACGATAACGATAACTGACAAAAATTGCGATATCTACACCAAAAAAGGTCATGTAAAGATAGCAAGACTAAAGCTAGTAAAACTGTCAAAAAATAAAAAATCGCTCAGAGCGAGAGAGTAACATTGAAAAGTACGGGATCGCTTTCTAGTAAAAAATTGTATCTTCTGTCAATTTCAACATAACCTCCAAATTTTGGCTGTAAATTTTTGCTTATTTTGTGTGTAAACACACTCAACTCACACATGTAAATAGCCAAAAATACTTTCAAATTCATTAGAATCCACTTAAACAAGTAACTAAATACTTTTCAACACGAATTATAAGAGTGCACTTTTCTTTTGTTTACAATTTGGCTGCCAAACACACTACGGCTGATCGTTTGACACATTTACCAGAATTTACCAGCAAAAAATTCTCGGACTGAAACTGGTATCTTCTGACAGAGCGAGAGAACCATATTTACGCTCTTTTTTGTCCTCTCAATAGTCAGAGAACCGAGTACGGGATCGATTTCCAGTAAAATATGACTGATTCTGACTATTTCTGACTAGTCCGGACTTGTACGGGATCGCAACTATAATTACGGCAATATTGAAAAATAAGCGGCTTTGGACATCTATAAGGATAATTGTATCGACAACAATAACATTGACGATAGCAGTAACAATATGCCTGCCAAAGTCGATAAAATTATAAACAAGGATTTCGCTAAAGGTAACAACTTCGACATATTACTACTACACGCACTACCTCTGTATATAAATATTTCTATCATTATAAAGCTTCCCTTAAAAACCACTAGAAATTCGGAGGTATCGTAGAACTATAGGTCACTCTATTTGCGAAAGGTGCTCAACAAAAATTGGAGGAGTAGCTCCGCCAAGGAAAAATAATTTCATATTGCATTTCTTACCACTTCCTCTTATTTTTCCGAGTTTTTTGACCGCTCCTCACGACAGACATCTGTTTCTGGGATATTAATTTTACTGAGGTGATAGCGAATAGAGCGATTCCCCGTGTAGTACCCAGTGAGAGTTTTGAGGTCCTCTCTGCCTAAATTGACTAGTTTCTTTGAAGCTACTTTTGAAGGAAAGATAAATGGTTTGGCTTGTCTCTGCTCTGGACGTTCCATCCAGTGCCTGTTGAACATTTTGTCTACCCAGTTATAAATGGTCTCCTTTATGTGTGTTGTGGTGAGCCCACAAAAGGCTTTCGAACCATAAAATACTGCCATGTCTCACTGTTTTGCTAGGCAGTCAGCCTCCGAATTGCCATCATGTCCCTCATGCCCCGGTACCGCTCCTAATAAAACTATATTCTTGGCTCCAAGAGCATTTAGGACATTGGGGCAAACATTTATGTCGATTTCCTCCTTTACATGGAATGACCCATCTGCAACTTTGTTCACAAAGAAATTACATATGTATGTTTTCATAAAAAAATACCAAATAGGTCTTTCTGCAAAAAAGGCAGAGTCATCATAAACAATTTTTTTCTTTAACAAGCAATTAAGTAAGCTGCCATGACTGCGGCTCTCTCTATTGTCTGGACTGCCGTGGCGTATACGTAATAATGCGCTAAAGCAACACACAATTCCCAGTAGAAATCTTAAGCATACAACAGCGCTGTTGGTGGCATGAGCTTGCTGCTGTGTATACATACCAGTATAAATGAACCTTCATTTCCATTTAACACGCGTGGTTTCTCAGAGCGTATGCGTACCTTAATCATACACTTGTACTACTGCTGTATGGATATGGCTGTATTAATGTTTCAAACATACAAAAATGCATTAATGGAACAGTATTAAAGCATTCTTACAAGATCCCCATATGTAATTGCTACTTTTCTGATACATTTTAATATACGGGGACATACAAACAAGTAGCACTTACATATGCAAATGCATATCTTGTAAAAGCCCGTTTGTGCTGAAAATAGTATCGCACAACACGTCCGTTCACTAAAAGTTTTGTACAAGACTGAAAATATTACAAAAATTCCACTTCAAATTTATCAAGAAATGTACTTAAAACAACGACAACGTACATTCGCTTTCCATTCGCTAGAATTTGAATTTATTCGTGGAAATTCATGACTACACATGAATTGTTCACATTAATTCACTCATATAGCAAGCATCCTTCAAGAATGCCTACAACCGATTTCTACTGGATTATTTCGCACACACACACACATTGAAATGTTTTGCTTTTGTTTGTTTTTCAGAGAATAGTTATTGTTTGTTTACTTT